TAATGCGCGTGTATTGCGTGACGATTGCACAGTAGGAAATAATATAGAGTTGCCTGTAATTGTTTTACTGAACTAATAACGTAGGCGAAAAGTTTGCGGAAAGGACAAAAAGACTGAAATAAAAAGCCTATAGACCAAGAAACGTATAAGAGCAAGTCACATTTACTAACGTAAAAAAATAACCGTTTGGATAGGCTGAGATTCGGTTCACTAACATTGTGCAATTATTAGTTTTAATATTATAAATACCTTCCCTCTGGCGGCTCCACTATGAATCCCTATCAGAACCTAAATTGAAGAAATTAGACGCGCACTAGAACACTCAATACGACCAGGAAAAGCGTTCGACACCGCACTTGACCTTCAGCAGGTCAGTTCTAGTCTGTTGATTTGCCATAAACCACCACAAATTCTACATCGTTCACGTTGCAAATCAGGCCTGAAGAGAAATGTTTACACTTCAAGCCTGTAAATGCAGAACCAAGCACATACATCTCGCGAGAATGTCGGCCTGATCAGATTTAAACGTGTGGCCGGGTCCCGTCGAATAAGCCGAAGTGTGAGAATAATGTACAATTTGTAAATGCCCCCGGTCTTCAGAATATCAGTAAGAAAGTGGCAGTTATTGAGAAAATGTAACGTGTTATTGTGGATAGGCTGATATAGTCTCAACCGGCAACAGTTCGGCTAAACGAAACCGGTAAAAAGTTCGTGATGGCTTTGAAATACTTAAATCTTTTGAAGGTCGTTGGTTACCTGGCTAGTAAAAGGCAGTAAAAAACTGCTACGCGGCTACCTTTGAAATCAGTATTCAGTATGTTTACCTATCCAACCAAAGAAGTTCAGCCTCCAGCTTAAAACTGGAAAATCATTACTTAAGCAAATGAGACAGACTGTTCTGCTTGGTTTTATCACGTCAAAACCGTAATCTTCGTCTTCTGACTTCGTCTGTATGTCCTCGATCAAAGTGAACCTCATGCATGGACGAGCTGGCCGAAAATATAGTCTGCTTCACAATGAACGTGTGTTCTACCATTCTTGCTGATTCAAATTAAATTGTTGGTTCTCTGACGAAGTTCTTAGAAGAGTCGTCAATATGCTTTCTTTTTTTCATTCTTGCTGCTTCTTCTAATATTTTTCTATGTTTTTTCTTTGAATGTGAAACCTTGGGAATTAACTCTATAAAACTTAGCATTATGTGATCATCCTTTTTCCATACTCTACAATGACGTAATATATTGCGGTTAATTTTCACTTTTGAGTTATCTGAACTTTGAAATCCCAATTCCAGATTAAGCAAAGAAGTAAATCAGGTTACTACAGGAACTTGTCCCTAAAAGGATTTTGCAGTTATTGAAAGATAACGATCAAGGAAGAAAAATTAGGATGCCTCCAAGGTATAAGATGCAACCGGTAACTTCAAAACGCCACTCACGTAAACATGGCGATGAGGAGGTTGATGAGGATGACATGTGTACAGAGAACATAAACGCCGTACACAAGGGGGTATGTATAATGGTAGTAAGGATAGGTACAATCATCCAGGACAGAACATTGCGCTGTCAGCTTGTCTGAAATTTAGAACAGAACAATGAAAGTATAGACAGGTCGGCAGCTTCTGTCGGACGCTTTGGCCACTATGTCAAGTTAGCACGTCTGCAATATGAATTGCTGATAAATATAATCTCGATTCACATGCAATGTGGGTCTGGTTGAAAATTAAATTAGCTTTTTCGCATACTTACCCAATTCTTCGACATTATCGTCTAGGTTGAATTCACCGAACATCGCAAAGAAGGCATTCCTCAAGTAAATACCGAATCCTATGTCCTCATATCCATAAGGATGCTTGGAGATTTGGACGACGAGAAAAATAGTGAATGCAAGCCAGAAGAGTAGGATTACACCCAGAAAGGGGAGGAGGTCACCAACTACCTAAAAGTCAAAGAGCAATACACCCATTAGCAACACTAAGGAATTACTTTTTAGTTAAGAAAAGTTACCATGCAGAATTAAAAGTGACGATATGATATGTAGTCCAACCTAATCTTAGATTATATACAGCTCGATGGATAGAGTTGAGAGTGCAAAAACCAAGGCAAACGCTGCTGTACTCAGGACCCCAAGCATGCATTTACCCGGAATAGTAAACCCAAATTCACACACCTTGTTGAGACCGGGGGGATATGAGCCCTAGCGTCGGCTTAATCAGCATCACCTCTGACAAATGGTGGCGTCAGTGCCAGCACTGGTACTACTAAACTTCTTGCCGAGATTGGGAGGATATGAGCACAGTGCAGACTTTAATCAGTGTCACTTCTGACTTACAAAACATTCAGTGATAGTACCAGCAAATACTATCACTCAGCTACACCCTAGTAAGTAGTATTAGAAGTAGCAGTACCAGTCCTGTTTACTAAAGTCTGGCTAGACACCTACTATAGGTGAGTGAGGTAGATAGTACAGTAGTACCCGCGCGAAGTCTACTGTCACTAAAGGTTAAGTAAGCCGGTGTTTCAGGCTGTATTGGAGAAAGCGGCTTTAGCCCGAAGCCTGCTTCGGTCATCTCGACATCAGTCTTGTCACCGGTCAAAGCAGTTAAGGTTAGAGTGGGGTAAATGGCGGCGTGTCTACTTTCACTATACCTGACCACAGTCACTTGCTTTCAGGCAAATGGTGAACATCTGCACTTGGGATGGTAGAACTAGCACATTATATGTAATACTTACGTCATTCGTGTTGCCCTAAGTTAAACGCCGATCCTTTTAGATAACTCCCTGTCACGCCACCCTCACGTTCTACCGGAAGGACTAGCGGCAATGTTAGGGCTAAGTTTCAGATTGCGGGTTAGATTACTTTATGTTTATTGGTTAGAAGTTGAGGTTAGGGGTAAAACTACCCTAATAGCAAAAGTCAACGAATCGAGACTCGAATTGTCGTTTTTTTCATTGTTGAATTTGATTGGTTATCAGACTACTCGCGGACGCGTTACTAGGCGGTGCAGATGCTTGCGTGGTCAGCTATTGGCAAATCGATCGCATTTTGTGGCGAGAGGCCGGGGCGTGCTATCACACGCCATTTCCTACACTGTCATGCTGCCGAGCGGTACATTACTGTCCTGACGTTCCTGTTTGCCTACACTCTGTAAATTGCCTCTATTTTGTTTCTTTTTTTCCAGCATGTTCAAGGCTGTTTCGAAAAGTAGCTGTTATAAGCGCATAA